ATAAATTGTATTGTAAAACTCAAAGTGGTCAGATCCCTAAAAAAATATATATAAGATCTGCAATATAGACAGCAAAGTAATACTGTAATTAACAGTTTATTTATTTTATTACAAAATTTTATGTAACTTATTTTAATGCAGTAGCACACTGCAAACTAAGATAAACCAGATTATTAAAATTAGTAAGCCTTTTGAACACTTTTAAATTTTACAATACAATTTATATGTAACTACTGGAAACGTGTTAAAATTTACAATATTGTATCGCATTACAAGCAAAAAAATTACTTATGATAAGTTTATATTTAAATATAAGCAAAAAAATTTAGCAACAAATGGGTCTCAAATCAGGCCCCCACGAAGAAATTGTGGTATTACGCTTCAAAAAAAACATAATAGATTTAAGTGCCCATGTTCTGGTTGCAACTTATACTTTTCAAGTTATGGAGAAGTACAGTATCACAATATGTTAAAGACATATATGACACCACATTACTTGGAGCAAAGTATGAACAAGAGTCCAAAATAGAACAAAAGATTAACGATAAAAGACATACATTATTTAAAGAAGCGTTTTGCAATCAACTTGACGATATAATCAATGGTTTAACGAAATATTATCATTTGACTGAACAAGGGATTTTAATTGATAAAGACTTAAAAAAAAGCTGTGACAGTCTTTTATTGTTAAAACAAGATTTCTCAAGTTTCTCAGAACATCAATTCAGAATATCTGAAAATGCATTGAATAAAAAAATCAAAGTGGAACGAGAAAAGGCGAATACTATGATTCAAAAGCAATAATCTTTTATAATTGTTTTTATTCGTATATGAAATATTTGCTAAGTTTATTGTTAGATACAAAGAAGAAATCTCAAGATTGAAATGCGAACTTGCTAAAAACAAAGATAAAATAGCATCATTAGTTAATCAAAACAGAGGATTGTATGAAAAATATTCCAAAGTACAAGAAAAACACACAACTCTTCAACAGGAATACCAAGCATTAATTGAAAATAACAACAATTATTTTATTGAACAGTGTGAATTGTTAAAGAAAGAAAACTATTCTCTGGTTCAACGGGTAAGTTTTTTAAACATACATTATATTAAATTAATAAATATATATATTTAGTATTTTTTTTCATGTATCCAGAATCTAGAGTTAAATGATGAGATTGAAGACTTGAAAGAAAGGAATAAAGAAATTGAAAGGGTTATTGAAGTTTTCGTAATTGTAGAATGAGCTTCATATTTTTATCAAATAAATGTTTTTTTGCGTTTACAACTTTGTTCAAATTCCACATGGTTTTATCGCAATACTCCTTTGAAAATACTCTATGTAAAATCAATGGAATATAAGGAAAGTATATTTGTTTATTTTCTTTCTTATTTATAATCAGATATTCACTTTCTGTACTTTGTTTTTGTATAGAAAATCGGGGACGAGTCTTCTCTGAGTGATTACTGTGAAGAGAATATATCTTTGTTTCTCAGAGTTATTGCAGTAAAGGAAGGCTCGACACGATCATATGTGAAATAGAAGTCAATTGGGTTTCTCGGAGTTATGTAAGTATAACTAATGTGTAAACAACTGTTTACATCTCAAGTTAACGATGAAGGAAACCCAATCTATATGAAGAAGTCTTATCACCCAAAATGAAGTTTTCGGTCAAGAATTTATATAAAATTACCTTGTTATTTTAAACCTCAATGATGATATGTCAAACATTTGATTCAATCAAATCTAAGAGGTTAAAAGATAACAAATTGTCTTTTAAAGAACTCTAATTGTTTCTTGCAAGCTCTTCTCACTTCCATTTCATCACAGTTTATCATTGTTTCTAATATAAGTGATTTATTATTTTCTTCTATTACAGGTTCATCATCAGCCAATCCAATCATGTAACAACTTCTATGAATTTTGGTTTATTAAATTTTTCTTCACAGAAATTTTCACAGCAATTTTAGAATAAACTCTTGTGTAGGTACCTATTACAGTTGTAATGATTTTACGCTCTTTGTTGTAACGAAAAATTTTATTTTTTTGTTGTTAATGAATAAAAACCAAATTTTTTATCCATCAGTATTATTTTACCAGTTATAAATTATGTTTATGGAGTAATGAATTGCATTTTTAAATTTCAAGTGGATATTGATATCAAAATCCTGACAAAAAAATTCCGAGACGATCAGGGAATACAAAAAAATAATACAACTTTCAATGCTATAAGAAATTATAAAATATAAAATTATTTTAATGAAATAGATTTTTTTGCATATATTCGATTTGCAAGCAGTATTGAGTTAAATTTTGCAACAAAAAGATGTTATTCGTGATTGAGTTGTTCCCATGATCTTTAGATCTTTTCATGATTAGTTAATTTTAGGTTAATATAATTGTACGAATAAATCATGTGATCATAATGTCCACCAATAAAATTAGTTAGACATTTACTAATTGTTCACCCATGACCTTTTTTTACTGATATTTTCACTACTGTCCACTAGGGTGTACAACAGCCTATTAAAATCATATAGTTAGGGTCACTAATGATCATCACTAATGGTGGATTTTCTAATGGGTTTATCTCAGAATCCTGATACTTAAATTCCGATGCTCAAAACCCCGAAAATAAAATCCCGATAGTATTTAAATTTGCTTTCAAGATTTTAAGTATTGAAATTTTAGATATCAGGATTCTGAGGTAAACTGGTAATTTTATTATATATTATTTTCAAATAATTATGTACTTTAGATTATCTATAAATTTTTAAACTACTTTATTAAATATTAATTCAAATCTAAACAATTGTAAAAAATTTAATAGTTCTAAACATCTTTTTAAATTTTATTGAATTTTTTATTTTTTAAAAAATTTTAACTTAATCTAATTTTATAAAGCATTAACTAGGTATTTTTTGTTATAAAATTTTTTATTAAATAAATTTATTTGAATTTTTAAATAAAAGTTAAGTTTGCTAATTTTAATTATAAAATTTTATTAAAATTAAATTAATATATAAAAAATAATAGCAAAAATATCTAAATTTTAGTAATTATTTAATGGGAAATTATAGGCATCTCTGGCCAGAGATGCATCTCTGGTCAAAACAATATCCGGGTAAATAATTTTAATCAAGTTAAGGTTTGGATTAGAGTTTGGGTTAAGGTTATGGCAAAGGGACATATTATAAGTAAAATTGTCTTCTTGACATTTTTACTTAATGCCCCAACATAGGTTAAGATGGCCGTTTTTTGTATTTTCTACTTTTTTATATTTTTTTCACGTTTTTTTGTTGTTTTGCTTCATCGGACTGATCCGGGAGAATTGTACTTTGTGTAACCGTTGTGCTATGCGAAAATGTGCGTC